AATTAAACGTGTCATGTACGGGTTTACATGTTTTTTATCCGTCACCCGTTTGACACCCCTAGCTGCCTCCTACGCTACGAGCATCACCCAGCCTATCTCCTGCACCCACGCCTAGCGGCGCCCTCTGTCCTCGTCGACCGACGCCCGCACCTCAGTGGCCAAACTCACCCACAGTCCTCATTTTCCTTCCAATTAGTGAGATGAGATTTTATCTCTTATTGGGGAAAATGTAGTCGACCCCGAATACACCTTCCTTAGAATCGAGACTTTTTTGATACTCCACTAACAAGCTTTCTCGCATGCTCTTTTTTCTTGGGAACTGTGGGACATGAGCTTTACCATCAAAGCTAAGGCGTCACCAGCTAGGAGCAGCGCCAAGGCATCGCCGCAGAGCCAAGGTGTCACCCACACAACCAGCTCCGGCGTTGCCTACCCAGCCTCCAACGTCGCCTGCCCTACCTCCTTACATTTGGTGTCGTCATGCCTCTGGCATCGTATGCCCTTGCCCGACACCCACTTACTACTTGGTTATGGATTGACCCGGGACCTAGAACCCTATTGAAACTCTACTCCAAGTATCAAGGAATTGTTGATAAACATCTTGGCAAGCAAATCTCATCCTACAATCTAAGACCCAACGTCCTATTACAACTCTACCTCGAATGTCTAGGGGATTGATGATAAGGTCTATTCCATCATAACCTGGAATTCAAGTCCATATGGAACACTACTTCCTATACCATTATAAATAAAGGTTTTGGGTACCAGGTATGTCATGGGATCCTAGCCAATTCATTGTATACTTTTTCTTTGACTCACTTACTGACTTAAGCATTGGAGTCTCTTTGACCACCTCCAGCCATCGGTTCACCTAGATTTTCTCTTGTCTTGCAGGTTACCAAAACTTCCCCACCATCATCTTCGTTCTATAAGATCGGGCTCTTTAAAGATCTGGCCTCGCATGGATTGTAGTGTTGAACTAATTCTAATCCTTGAGCTAATTAGAATCCTTGAATTCGACCAAAGAAGGCACAGCAGCACCCGTGCCTCAACGCCCAACAATGCTTTCAATAGCTTCGCGCTCTCTCTCGAGTTGTCAAAAGCTGGTCTAACTCTGCATTTGCTCTCAGGAAGACAGTCTCAATCTTCAGCTTAGTGCCTCTTTCACGAGTCGCCAAAAGTTTGGCTTAACTCTGCATCTGTTCTTAGGCAGACAGTCTTAATCTCCAGCTTAGCGACTCTTTCACGAGTCTTCACAAAGCTTGGCCTAACTCTACATCTGCTCTCACGTACGCAGCCTATGTCTCCAGCTTAGCGGCTCTCACAAGAATTGTCAAAAGCTCGGTCTCATTCTACCTTTGCTCTCACGTAGGCAACCTCAGTCTCCAATTTAGCAGCTCTCTCACGAGGCACCAAAAGTTTGGCCTAATCTTATCTCTATTCTAAAGCAGCCTTGGTCTCTTAGAAGCTCGGCGTAACTTAGCTTGTGCTTACACGCAAGCAACCTCGTTCTCCAAAATCTTGGCCTCGAGAGTTGCTGCTCTCTTATGAGTCAAGTCTCTTTTCCGCCTGGTGCCCAAGTCTCTCTTCTGCCAAAGCTCTCGACACTTCGTTGAGTTTGAATGTCCCCAAAAGTATGGAAAAGCCGAAGATGTTAGTATGACCAAGCATACAGAAGACAGGGTTTCATATAATAGAGGGGTACCATAGCAAAGCTCTCTATCGCGGTATCGATGATACCCTCAAGATCCCGAGAACTGACCTATCTAATATCCAAGGGTGTCACAAATATCCAAAGTCTCTCCTTAGCCAAAATTCATATCCTGCAACATGGACACCAAGGTATTGCTAAAAGTAGGATAATTATGTGAAACATTGGGGGCATCAAACCCCACTTTTCAAGAAACAACAGAGCCGTCAGACCTCAATTGGAAAGCACTAGAGCATCAGATCTCACCTTTTCTAGGATGAGGAGAAATCATCATCCTAGTGACATAGAGAGCCTTCGTCGTTGATCCATCAACCACGGGATCACCTGTAAAAGAGTGAATTTTTATAAACTAAAGACATCATCAATTTTTTCTAGGTCCTCCATGGTGTCGCCCATGGCACCACCCAGCCTCACGTCTTCCCTGGTGTCACCCAAGCTTCTCTCACTTTTCAAAGCGCCACTCGTCAAAGCATCTCCATCTCCACACACTACAACGTCCATACTTCTTTTCATCCTCTCTCCAACAATGGCGCTATCAAACAGAGAAATAAGCTTCAAAAAATGCAATGTAGTGGAAAGCTGAAGGAGTCACCGTATGAGACAAGATATCTGGTCTACCCAAATGAAAGACTTCATTCATGCCCTCAACCCCCTATCACTACTAGGGCTTGGGGCATGGGACGCAAATGACGAGCCAAGATTTAAACCAGGCCTAGACCAAATTCTTGGGTAAGCCCAAATTAGCCGCCAAGCAGGTCCAGCCCATCTCATAGACTCAACCCAGTCCAAAAGTCTAAGAAACCTAAGAGGATCAACGCATGTGGGGAGTAATTTCGGGAATAACCACTACTCGGAGATTGAGACTATATTTAATTGTACCTATCTTTAGCTATAGTTATCCTCTCCGAAGGACTAGTCACATATTCTTTCACGTCACCGCCTCAACTAAGGCTCCATGCTTATAAATTATAAGTCTTTTACACATAATAGACACGCCTTTTACACACCTAACCATGAGAAGGGCATCTCTCTACACACCGTACACAACTATCTCTGTCATAGCTACCTTGAGAGTACTCTTGCTCTCGCTCTCTCCCACCTACAACATTATCAATAAAGTTCTCCGGCCACCGTCGCTGTCTTCAAAGTGGAGTAGGTCACCCTGAACGAACCACTATATATCTGTGTGTTGCTTGTCTTGATCTAATATTTGTCTCCTTTATTAATTGTTTTATTGATTACTTCATTAATTATCCTAAATCATATATTCGACAGGTGGTGCATAAATCCACTTTTGTGCATCATCAATTACAGTAAATGACTGTAAAACAAGGCATTATTTCACATTTTTGTGCCTCCTATTAGAGATATATAGTAGTTGATAGTGTAATACAATTAGTTATATTTTTTATACATTAATCATCGCATAGCCAATCATTTTGGTACGGATGATAACTTTTTTTCTCGCAAGAAATGCTTACCCAATGCGCGTAATTTGTGGTTGATTGTGCATATTCCAAATTTATATAGCATCTATTAGTCCAAAATTCACATTATTGATATAGTTCTCGGTTATAAGAAGAAAAAAAAAAGGAAAAATAAACATCTTTCAGGAGTAGTTGTTGCTAATATTAAGCGATTTTTTAGCTCTTTTAGTATTTAAATCTTGTTCAATACAATTTTTTTAAAATTTTACTTAATGATAAAATACTCATCATGAATTAGAGTGGCATGCATTATATACAAGCAAAATTCCATCAATACATTGAAACTCTGGAACGGGGTTGGAGTCGGGTTTTCTCATAGTCGGGGCAACCAAAACTCACTAATAAATTAAAACTATAACACTTATTTTCTTTTATAAAAATATTAATTCCTAATACTTATTTTATCACTACAAGTTCATTAAAAAGGAACCTATTAGGAAATGTAACCCATACCTCGATAGAGAAAACGAACTTACAAAAAGGGTCACATACAAAAATGTTCTATAATCTTTGATGGTGTAATTTATACAGTCGTGTAGTTGAGCTCGGGGCTCAAAAAAAGGGAAATAGATTGAAGATTCGTAATGGACCTCAATGGGGTTCATTAGAATATTCAGTCAGAACTACTAAGTTCTCGATGGTAAAATAGTAGGCATAAGGATAATTACACATAATGAAAATCAACAGACAGAAAATTTATAGTGGTTTACCAGTTTAGAAATTTGATTAATCCACTCTAATAGAGTCACTTGCTCTTGAAGGAGTTTCTATTATTTGGGGGAGACGATTACACTGCTCTCTCGAGAGTCAATTCATAGGTTTTCAATCCTTTAGAATGTGAGTTACAACCTATGTGATGGAATATTTGGCCTTTGGAGGCTATATTCCTTAGGCTTGGCATGGCCTTCTAGAAGGTGTGAATTGTCGTAAAGTGTACAATGATTACGTTGGTTCTGATTTTCGATCTGCAATTCCCGAGCTAGGAATCATGAGCTTGGAGGTTTGAGTTGGGTAGCTAAGGATTGAGAGCTCAGCTTGTTCACTAACCTTAATTGTCTCGAGCTAGAACCCAATCTCTAATGTCATTGAGCGGGCCCCTATCGGGGTACTTCCGAGCTGTATTTGGACCAAGATTAACTTTGAATAATTTTTTGGTATTAACAATCTTTTTAGTCAAATTTTGTAATTTGAAAGACAAAACCCACTTATTTTTTGAAATAAAAAATTACTCCTGAATTGTTTACAAGGTTTTTAGTAGGGGCAAATTAAAAAAAAAATGAAATTGTAAGAGCTGACTTAATAAATGTTAATAAAAAACTATCTAGATACTTATCATTTATTAGTAAGAGGCACACTTTATTTTATGTTAAACAATAAAAAAATAAAACATAAATATATATTTTAGGTCAACATATATTTATGTCTACTCACAAAGCATGAAGAGTAATTGATCAAATTCGTGGACGTTCCAAAAAAGAAACACGTATAATAGTAGAACACATGTCTTATTGAGCTTGTTATCTCATTTTTAAATTTGTTTATTATTTCCAATAAAATAAATTTAATTATTAGTAAAGCCGAATTCAACTATCACAAGTGTCATTCTAGAAAACATTGTACCAAGTATGATATACATCCTGCATTTCATTAGTTAAACAAACTTCTCTCTCAAAATTACCAGCAAACTTATTTTGACAACTTCAAAACTTAAAACAACCATGAGAGAGAATGATCACAAACAAGTTGACAACACAAACCCTAATATAACTTACAAGTTCACAACTCAAACACTGCAACTTTAATTACCTTAACTCCGACCTCGACTCTTCATCTTCATCTTCCTCCACCTTGGACCTCAAATACACCTCATTATCCGAGTTCCTCACCGAACAGTTCGCCCTAATTTCCCCTCTCCCACCAGTCAACACGCTCAGTTGCCCCATTTTCAGCATCGAATGAACAAATTTCTCGAAAAACAGCGTCTGATCATCGGCAAAGGCGGCAACGATGTCCCGTGTACGACTATCAGTATACAGATCCTGATCAGAAGTGAATAGGCCTTGCCGGTGCACCAGATCGACGTAGTACTTGTTATCGAACTTGTTCGGAGTTCGGATATCGAGAACTGTGGTGCCGTTGGAGTCGAGCGCGGGGCATATGGCTATAAGGTCGTCGGCGAAGGTGTTTTCCATGGTTGTGTCTTGAGTTGGGTAGAGCCGTTCGGTGAAGGAGCCGCAGTGGCTGAGTCCAATGGTGTGGCCGCCGGAGAGAGCCACCACGTCGGTGGCGTCGAGGTTTTTGGAGGCGAGAGAGGTGAGGAGGAAGGTGGTGTTGCTAGTTGGTTGCGGAAGGTTGGCTAGGGTGGCGTTTCTTGTGGCGAAGGTGAGTCCATCCTTTCTTCCCAAGGGAATGTTGTACTCGGGTCCACCTGACTGCAATTCACAGTTAAAAGAAACGGTAATTAACCACATAAATTCGAATGTTGGAACGTGAAGCATGACAATTGTTCTTTAGTAATATTGGGAATTCATTTTTGAGAGCCAAAATAAGATTTTTTATTATTTATCTCTATTAAATAATAATTCTAAAAGTAAGGGTAATAATTTCTCGAGAATACGACTCAAACTTGACACAAAATTAATAGTTTAAAGTTGGTCATTTCTCAACTATACCCAGTAAATGACACGACCCGTTAATACAAATAATAAATAGGTTGAATTAGTATCAAACAAGAACAATACGAAACGATTAAAACGTTTAATTAATATTATTAAAATAAAAGGTTAATTATTTATTATTGTTTGTTAAGCATTGACATAATTATTATACAAAAAAGACATTTTTACACATTATTATTGTTAAAAAATATGAGCATGAATTCAATTAATTGATAATAGAATCTTAAACTTAAATCTTATCGTTAAGTTTTTTATTCAAGATTTATAGGTCAAGACGAACACGAAAATAAACAGGTCAATCAACACAATATGATTAATTAAATAGGTAAAATTATGATTGATTAGTACTCGACACAAACCCGCAATAACACGATTGTCACTCCGATCTAAAAAACGTGTAAATTTAATGTAATTTTTTTCTTCCATTGAATAGATTTTGTTACTCTTAGGATTGTTGATTTTGAGGGTATTATTCCCACTTGTGGACGGCTGAGTGAGGCTTGGTGTTGGGTAGGAGGGTTTGGAAAATTTAATTAGGATGTCAATTGAGGTATATCATTTCGAGTTCATATCGATTAATAGCTAAATTTTATCGTCTTTGTAAGTTCATCTCTTGCGATCTCCTCTTTTTTTTTTAATGGTTAAAATGGAAGAATATATAGTTCAACAATTTATTGTGATGTAAATATAAATTAAAAAATTAGTCGTTAAATATAAACGAATTGAGATATTTGTTGTATTTTGTGATATGTTTTATTATATAGATTACAGGATACAACTCAAGTTATATATATATATATATATATTTGAATATTTAATACCAATTTTTTTTAATTTTCAAAATAAAATTATTCATTTTTAAGATTAGTTTAATTTATTATTGTGGCTTACCAGAAATACAGCGTCACGCGCAGCAAGGGCAACAATGTCAGAACAAGAGACAACCCTACCACACGCCTTGTGCACGTGTTCTCGGAGGTCATCGATGATCTCAAACGCACTCTTCCTCAAAGTCAAGTTGGGTGGCGCGTCCTGTTCACTCGGCCCGCTATGCGATCCATGAAGCAACACTGAACCATCACATCCCTGTATCATCATCAAACAATTGAGAATTATTCGTTAGATAATATTGAAGTATTATACCAAAGGTTATTATTTTTTAAACTATAATTATACTTTTTAAAAATAAAGTTTTAATTGATTAAGTTAATTTAGTATTGCCTATGAATGTTGTGATCAATCATAAAATACTTTAATCAATTATAATATTTTTTTAAGAGAATTATATTCAGACTTTCTGAAATTTATCATTTAATTATTCAGACCCCTGAACGATTAAAGTATTATAAACAGACATCGTGAGATTTGTCAGACGTAACACTTACTCTATCGTTAAATGCGCTTAACAATTTAAGGGTTTGAATGTAATTTATTGGCGGGACTCTATGTGGTTTTACAGCCCCCCGGATTGACCCGTGGAATAATGAAGCCGATGAAATGTCTAAAGGGTGCCGAGAAGGTAAGCCGAGATATGATGACACAGAGCAGCCGAGTACGAGAACTGACATTGTATTTAATGCAATGTGACCCCTCATTTATGGCGAAAATAAGTAATAGTGACAAGGCAAATAAATGTGCGTCTGCCAACACATGCCCTCTGTGAGTCTAAGTCTATTGTCATGATGGCTAAACATTAATGGTTGAGGCACCGAGACAACACTATCGGCTCTCCCGAGGAACTGTTCCTCCGAGTATTCAATGCTCAGTTGATGTCGGATGGCGATCTAGGGGATTTGGGTACTCNAAATTAAAAAATTAGTCGTTAAATATAAACGAATTGAGATATTTGTTGTATTTTGTGATATGTTTTATTATATAGATTACAGGATACAACTCAAGTTATATATATATATATATATATTTGAATATTTAATACCAATTTTTTTTAATTTTCAAAATAAAATTATTCATTTTTAAGATTAGTTTAATTTATTATTGTGGCTTACCAGAAATACAGCGTCACGCGCAGCAAGGGCAACAATGTCAGAACAAGAGACAACCCTACCACACGCCTTGTGCACGTGTTCTCGGAGGTCATCGATGATCTCAAACGCACTCTTCCTCAAAGTCAAGTTGGGTGGCGCGTCCTGTTCACTCGGCCCGCTATGCGATCCATGAAGCAACACTGAACCATCACATCCCTGTATCATCATCAAACAATTGAGAATTATTCGTTAGATAATATTGAAGTATTATACCAAAGGTTATTATTTTTTAAACTATAATTATACTTTTTAAAAATAAAGTTTTAATTGATTAAGTTAATTTAGTATTGCCTATGAATGTTGTGATCAATCATAAAATACTTTAATCAATTATAATATTTTTTTAAGAGAATTATATTCAGACTTTCTGAAATTTATCATTTAATTATTCAGACCCCTGAACGATTAAAGTATTATAAACAGACATCGTGAGATTTGTCAGACGTAACACTTACTCTATCGTTAAATGCGCTTAACAATTTAAGGGTTTGAATGTAATTTATTGGCGGGACTCTATGTGGTTTTACAGCCCCCCGGATTGACCCGTGGAATAATGAAGCCGATGAAATGTCTAAAGGGTGCCGAGAAGGTAAGCCGAGATATGATGACACAGAGCAGCCGAGTACGAGAACTGACATTGTATTTAATGCAATGTGACCCCTCATTTATGGCGAAAATAAGTAATAGTGACAAGGCAAATAAATGTGCGTCTGCCAACACATGCCCTCTGTGAGTCTAAGTCTATTGTCATGATGGCTAAACATTAATGGTTGAGGCACCGAGACAACACTATCGGCTCTCCCGAGGAACTGTTCCTCCGAGTATTCAATGCTCAGTTGATGTCGGATGGCGATCTAGGGGATTTGGGTACTCAGGGAGTGGTATAAATGCTTGACACATGGCCTAGCATTTACCCCATTTTCCTAGCATTCAATAGGAGGAGACGTGAATAGAAAACATTCATTGCAAGAGAAATGGTGTGTCAGATGTAAGATGTCCAGATGAGACTGGAGATCTTTGAGAATCATTGTTAATTCATATATAAATACTCCTCAGAAAAATGGATAAAAGTACGCAAACTTGAACCAGAAAAAGAGTTCATTGAGCAAAATCTTTTGACCTTATATTGACTTAAGCTTTAGAAGGGTTTAGCTGGACACACATTTAGCCCCCTTTTTTCTGACTCTACTATTTCAGGTTTGCCAGCTTAGAAGTCACTGTCTCGTATTATTGCAGAAATTATCCCATGTATTTATTATCATAACTTACGACATAAAAAATTATAACTTCACTTTAAAAAAAAAAATTCGATATAATACGATAGTGTTGTCTTCCGCTCATTGGTACTATAGTCTTCCTAACATTTTTATATGAAGGTCAAGAGTCAACTCACCACAACAAAGAATGAACCATATCTCACTCAAAAGGATATCATTTATCGGAAGTCCGAAGTCATATAATAAGGATTCATGAATCTCCTTAATATAAGAATGGAGGTACAGTGGGTGAGGGTTGTTTTGGAGAAAATATTTATTACAAGGGTGATATCACGTGGTAAAGTGACGTGGTATCACCGATCAATAATAATAAAATAAATAAACAGATTGGCCCCATAAAAATTAATAACTAATATGTCATATAAAAAAATAGTTCTTCACTCTTCTGTCATGTAAGTTTAAGTGAGATTTATTTTTTTTATTTATAATTTTATTATTAATTAATAATATCATATCATCAATAATAAAATAATATCACCGTTATATTCAATATTTACTCGTTGGTCAGGAGTAGTTTTAAGGGTGTTCATCAAAAATTAAATTGGGCCCAGAAGGAGACTTTCTAAACTTTGGGAGACAAAGAGGACAGAGGAGGCGCCGCCGTGGGCCCCAGGCATCTGCTACCCGTGGACAAAACACACTAGGGCCACACCATAGGCAAGAAAAAATGCAACAATCTAAATGATACATAATTTAAATGTGTATTATTTTTTAAATGAATAAGACTCGGTGAATAAATTAATAAAATTTACTCATTTAAAAAATAATATACATTTAAATTATAACTTTTTAAATTATACTTGACTTATGTAACATTATTATGCAAGACAAACATCAAAAGAAAATGCAGTATGACATGAAGATGCATATTAGAAAAATAAATCATCTCAAGATCCAGCACTCTAGAGTTTCTTAATGCTCGGGGGTTAGTTTATGAAAAATCGGATGTACATAATTTTAATGGATAATTCAAATGTTAATAAAAATAAACTGTAAATTCAGACGTTTTAAGTTCAAATTTTGGTAATTCCTTAAAGTTAGGATATGAGTGATTTATTATAATTTATCCCTCATAAATACTCTAATCTTGACATTGATGATTTATCTTTGATCAAACCGAGAAATGGATTAATCGAAATAAGCATAAGTTGACCCAAACACTCCTAACCGTTGAATCCAAAAAAAAAAAAAATTCAATATATATGACCTCATTTTAAAGTATGTAAAAACTGTGTTTTTAATATTCGAATCCATAAACGTTGAGTACATAATTAATGAAATAATTTTACTAGTGTACCAAGACTTACCCTCATGGTGCTCACTAAAACTTTGTATGGAGGGCTTATAATCTTATACACCTAACCCCATCTCATAAGAATCACAACAAGGGTGTTCTTTCTAAGACTAAAATGGTATCTACATATTTAATTCGAAGTCAATATGATAAAGATTCATCAACCTCCTTAAAATAAGAATGGACCACATCTTAGTACTTATTTAATTTGTCCTGGGCCCCATGGGTCCCAGGCATCAGCTACCCTTGGAACAAAAAACACTAGCCTCCATGGATTAGAAGATAGGAGTGGGTAAAATGATGGCTCAGTATGGATAAAGTGGTGAACTTTGCCATGAATTTCTCTTTTAACCAAAATATTAATCTCACCAAGAAATTGGAGCAAAGCAACAAATTCAAGCTAACAATTAATCTGATGGACCCACCAATTTTATGCTCAATTTTACCAAATGGTTAGTCATCCACCGTGTAAATCACTAAGGACTTCACTTATAAATAATGGGTTTTAAATGAATAAATAGTGTGCTATAATTAAATAAAATTTATAAAAAAATATATAATAGAGATAATCAGAATCTAAGAACAAAAGAATTCCTCAAGGTTGCGTAATAGGTAAACAATCAAAGAAGATGAAGGATGACTTGATACTAAAAGAATCACAAGAAGGGTGGTGTTTGTAAGACTAAAAGGTATGAAAAAAAAAATGAACATACTTACCTGAACAAAGCAGTCATGGAAGTGAAGGCGAAGCAAGCCAGCAGCCTGGCCAATATCCTCCTCAAAAACCTTCTTCAGATGCTTTCTTATAATGGATTCCACCTCCGGACACTTATAATCGTAATGACTCCATGAGAGTCCCTCTGCCAAAGGTGCAGACTCATATTTATAAGCCCTTAACACATCGACGTAGGAACACAACAAAACTGAAAGAATGAGGAAAAGCAGCAGAGAGGTAGAAGTAGAAGAAGAAGAAGAAGAAGAAGAAGAAGCCATGGATAGTTTGTGTGGCCAAAGCAACACAACATGAAGCGTTTTTTATATAGGTGGATAGAATCATTGACAAAGACTTTCAGTTGGATTGGAGCGAAACAAAAACTTTTGGGNGTTTTTAATATTCGAATCCATAAACGTTGAGTACATAATTAATGAAATAATTTTACTAGTGTACCAAGACTTACCCTCATGGTGCTCACTAAAACTTTGTATGGAGGGCTTATAATCTTATACACCTAACCCCATCTCATAAGAATCACAACAAGGGTGTTCTTTCTAAGACTAAAATGGTATCTACATATTTAATTCGAAGTCAATATGATAAAGATTCATCAACCTCCTTAAAATAAGAATGGACCACATCTTAGTACTTATTTAATTTGTCCTGGGCCCCATGGGTCCCAGGCATCAGCTACCCTTGGAACAAAAAACACTAGCCTCCATGGATTAGAAGATAGGAGTGGGTAAAATGATGGCTCAGTATGGATAAAGTGGTGAACTTTGCCATGAATTTCTCTTTTAACCAAAATATTAATCTCACCAAGAAATTGGAGCAAAGCAACAAATTCAAGCTAACAATTAATCTGATGGACCCACCAATTTTATGCTCAATTTTACCAAATGGTTAGTCATCCACCGTGTAAATCACTAAGGACTTCACTTATAAATAATGGGTTTTAAATGAATAAATAGTGTGCTATAATTAAATAAAATTTATAAAAAAATATATAATAGAGATAATCAGAATCTAAGAACAAAAGAATTCCTCAAGGTTGCGTAATAGGTAAACAATCAAAGAAGATGAAGGATGACTTGATACTAAAAGAATCACAAGAAGGGTGGTGTTTGTAAGACTAAAAGGTATGAAAAAAAAAATGAACATACTTACCTGAACAAAGCAGTCATGGAAGTGAAGGCGAAGCAAGCCAGCAGCCTGGCCAATATCCTCCTCAAAAACCTTCTTCAGATGCTTTCTTATAATGGATTCCACCTCCGGACACTTATAATCGTAATGACTCCATGAGAGTCCCTCTGCCAAAGGTGCAGACTCATATTTATAAGCCCTTAACACATCGACGTAGGAACACAACAAAACTGAAAGAATGAGGAAAAGCAGCAGAGAGGTAGAAGTAGAAGAAGAAGAAGAAGAAGAAGAAGAAGCCATGGATAGTTTGTGTGGCCAAAGCAACACAACATGAAGCGTTTTTTATATAGGTGGATAGAATCATTGACAAAGACTTTCAGTTGGATTGGAGCGAAACAAAAACTTTTGGGTATTATACACGATTTATACCCGACACGAACCCGACGAATTAATAAATAAATCAAGTATGAGTAAAATATTTTTTGACAAAAAATCGTTAAGACTCAATACGAACCCGTTTTACCTACACAATTGACAAGCCTAACTGCTATTATTCATTTCAAGTTTTGAGGTTTGAAGTAATCTTAGCTAGGAAGGCACATGGAGGTGGTGGTCACATCTCTCTAGTCTCTACCTTCTTTTCCATTTACTATTTCAATTACTTGGTGGGTTTAGTAAACTTTTTTATGTCGTTTAGTCTTTGTAAGTCTATGAAAGAAATTATATTCACCGTTTACTTTTGGAGAATGTGATGACTTTTCGTAAGATAAATTCATCGGTACACGTTGCTTTTCATTGGTACGCGTTGGTGTGATGGTGGAATTATGGATGACGCAAAAATCTATATATTTTAAGTTTTACTCTAATCGGATCCGGTTCCTCTGCTTTTCCCTAACAACAGCACGGGCTGCTGTTCGTCCAAAACTATGCCGTTTTGAACTCTCTTCTTTTTTTTTTTAACTTGTCAAACGGTACCATTCTAATTACCCTCGAACAGAACCTTCAGTCCCTCCCCAAATTTTGAATAGAACTCTGCACAACAATCGTGTCGAATAGAACTGTTTTATGTTGGGTGGTACGGGTTTGTGTCAAAAAACTCTCCATTCATACCTTTTTATTTATATAAACGAGTTCAACTATTATATTCATATACGAATCGTTTATTACGCGGTTTATCTAATATAGTCCGTGTGTCACCCGTTAAATAAAATAATATGTTAGAGAATTTCGAATTCACATGAAAAATCATTAACTCATCACACATTATACATGTTTAACCTATTTACTATAACAATAAATCATGGCTGAGTAAAAAAATAAAGATAAAAAATAAACATTAAATGAATACTAAATTTGAATAAGTTTGAGAAATGAGAAGTGTGACATAAGGCAGAGGCTAAAAGAGCTAATTTTTTTAAAGAAAAAATATAGTACCACTGTTAACGGGTTGAAACGAGTTTATGAGTTAAACACGAAACTAATTTGTTTATTTCACGGGTCTGTCAAGCTAACTTGTGAACCACCCGAATCTATTAAAACTATACTTAAAGTTGTTAAATTCATATCAGGTTTGTGTCAATTTTATGAATCGTGTCTAGAATTTTCAGACCTAAACAAAACTTTCAACATCTTCGTTGAGTAGAAGTGGAAGTTCTCTTCATTGCCTTGCCATTGCCATCGATATTTATCACCATCATAGTTCAACCGACATTGAAAACATAGAGCGGACAAGTTGGGGCATCACCATCACCCAAGATTTTTTTTTTGTCCCTAAGCGGACGAGTTGGGGCAAAAAAATTCAAACTTTTGATTGCTTAAGGTTCTACTGGACTTCCACTCAACGAAGAGGCTGAAAGTTCTGTTCAAAATTTGGGGATGGACCGAAGGTTCTGTTCCAGGTAATTGGAACAGAACTGTTTAACGAGGGAAAAAAAAAGTGCAAAACAACGTGGTTTTGGGCGAACAGCAGCCCCTGCTATTCTTAGGGAAAAACAGAGGAGCTGGATCCAGCTAGAGAGAGGGCGTGATTGGTACAATTCTGGTGCAAAAACAAAAGAAAATGAAAATTTTGAGACATTTTCAACAGTAATGAGTGTTTGAATGGGCTTCCTTTCCTGTGCATGTAAGCAAAGCATATATGTGTGAACATGACATAAAGGTGAACGTGACATGAAGGTCATCTTCTGGGAAGTATCATTTTTATAGGTCAATCGTCATTATCTGGCTGCTGTTCATAGTCATTTTGTGCAAGTAATTGTGAAACTTCATCCATACACACTGATTTAGGCAATTACGACACTTAAACCATGGGTGTCAATGAACACGAGATACCAACTTCGCACACAACACGAATTCAAAAATAATACAATCTAATAACATGCATAATAAATGGACCAAATTCGAATTAAGCACAAAGAATAGATTTAGCTTGTATTGTGTGCCAAAAAAAGTATTTTATTTTAGAAAAAAACGGAAGTCAGTACACAAATATAAATTTATTTGAATAAAAAGGTACTAATGAAAACTTATTGAGTATACGTGCGTTTTGATAGAAAAATACCAAAAATCTATTCTGCAAGTGTAACTCTTGCAACAACCAAATTTTGAAAACAATTATATCACAATCTCTCGCTATTCTCTCTCTCTCTTTCTCTTTTATTCTCTCACCCACTCTCCCCTATTTTCTCTGTCTCCCACTATTTTCTCTTATCGTTATTCTCTTTCTCTTTATTTTTTCTCTTTTCCCATTGATAATTTTTTTTTTTTTTAAATATGTAAAGATTTGGTTTGATTATTTTTTTTTGAAATTATAAATTTTTTGATTTTTTGTGATACACCTTATTGGTGCATATGTGTGATTTATATCTTTGGTGAATCAATTTTGTGCATCAATTAGGGGTATCATTTGTGTTTCTGTTTTGGTGTATCTGTTTGATGTATCACTTTCTTGTATCAATTTTGTGCATCAATTAAGTGTATCATTTTAGTGTTTCTTTTTTAATTTCATTAAGAGTATCTCTTTGTAAACTGTGCGCAATAAATAATCGGTGCAACTTATGCCTATTTGGTGTATCTCTTTAGAGAATGCAACATTTGAAACCGAATCAGAAAGCCACGTTTGGAACCTTATCGTAATACCTTCAATTGGTTTGGAATCGAATTAGAAAGTCAACAACTAGAAAATATAAGAAATAACAACGGTTGAAGAATATACTATGAATTGATTTAAGAATAAATGTTCAAATAAAAAAAATTTATGTACAAGTGAACTTAATAAAATAAAAATCTTATCAATGAATTTTCTCTCAAATAAGTCTTAAAAAATGTATTCATACCTAATTTTCTCTTTATTTTATTTATTATTTCTTTAAATTATACAAGTTTCCTTAAAACTAAATAGTTTTTTTACCGACACATGTTTTAACACAAACACGACATGGACTGAAATAACAGCAATTAAAAAATAGCTCGAAAATGAACAGACAAGAATAGAAACCCCTAATTGGCCCAAGCTATGAGAATTGACACAACCCCTAACTGCCAATCCTTGCATTTGGCCCAAGCTATGCACTGGCCCTAGTTCTGAGCCTTTTAAAGGATGTTTATTAGCCTAATCTGTACTTACTTTTTTCGGTCCAAAAGCCCGATGCCTCGCCAGCCAGACAAGCAAGTTAAGCCAAGGTGGCCCATCAATAGATATGAATCACTTCCTAGTGGGCTAAGCGGGCCCAATGTCAACTCTCATCCTCAAACATATTCTTTCCCAATGCCTAATATGTTGGCTTGATCATGTATGAAATATATCAACTTCAACACCAGAACTAACACGGTCATTTCAAGATTTGGCAAAGATCAGCTGTTGTAGTGCTGAAGGAATCATCTTCAATGACCAGCAAGTCGACAAAACGCAGGGTTCAAACGCATTAAAGCACAAAATCACATACAAAATGCACACAATTATCCGAGCAATTGCACATAAAACCAAAATGTGTTCAAATTGAAGATTTTTTATTTGCGAAACCGCAAAGCATGGTCTGTTTAAAGAGGTCAGGCGGAAAGAACAGTTGCAACTAAGCATTTAAACTACGAAAAATGACTCGAGTGCCTGCATCTTCTAAGATACCTTACGTCTAGCAACCTGTTTGAAGTTCCTTTAGACTCAAAATTGGGGTAGAAAAGAAGATAAAATGAAAAACGCTTGCAGAATGAGAGATTTAATTTGTCTGTTCATCATCTCCTCCTTCAGGTTTTGTTTCACCATTTGCTTTTTGAGGAGGGCAGACAGCATTCTTGACAATGGAGAAATGGAAGTTAAACTCCGCTTTCAATTTAGAGCATTCGGATTTTATCCACTTCTCTCCTTCAGCAATAGGTACGTTATCCTGGCTGTCCCTCTCATGTTCCTCGATGGCAGGACGAATTTGATCATATACGGCATTAAGATTAGAGGTGGCTTGGTTTTTTATTTCCTGCATGATATATCAAACTTTTAGCCAGGGAAGAGAAACAGTGTTTAATCAATTCCAAGTAATAATGATGTTTGGAAGATTATGGAGCCAGCAAAAAGGAGCTTCTTGAGGTTGTAAATAGCTGTCCATCACTGTAGCCATGACATAAAAATGAGATGACTGATGCATTGAAGAACAAAATTTTGGAACCAACACACGCGGCCCCCACGCCAGCAGCCAAAAAAAAAAAAACTACTCTGCTCCCCTCTGGCATAGCCACTTTCTAAATCATATACTGTATTTGAGAAAACTATAAGATATGTTTCCAAAAATATATCATGTATGCTGTTACCATATTTGGGTAGACCTTTCCAAATCTGCTTCATAATAATATGGAATACATCCTTGATACTCATTCAGGATTATGGGCTGGACAATTTGTGTAGATCAGGAAGAGAAATTAGGAAATGAGAAGATAAGAAGGATGAAAATGACAAATAGTTCCTAATTTCGACATCTACGCCTACTATAACAAAAGACAATCTGATCCCATCAACAATACTAGGGTCATTAAGTCAACTCTTAAAAGCTCTCTTCCTGAAGGTCAAGAATTAAAGCTAATATTATAACACTGAATGATTGCTCTTTTTTCACAAAAATGTTTATCCTAAAAGGCAAAGCACACTTGCCCCCCCTATACATGTGACCAGTCTCCCCC